TGACTCCTTTAATAGAAGAGGTTTCAAGAATGGATACCACACCTAAAATGAAAGACAAAAACTATTTTTTTTATGAAGAACACGTCCCAACGAGCCCTCCAAGTTCTTCTAAAATTCTATCTTCCAAAGAGATTTGAGAGAGAATTCTAAGGGAGAGGGGTATTGGGTTTTAGCAAAAGAAGTCTAAAGTTAGGTCTTAGGGTTTGAAATAAGTTAATATATCTAAATGACTTCAAAATAAATGTCAAAGGTCCTTAAAATACTAGGGGTTAATTTACCAAACACCTCAAGCCAAAGCAGCCACTTAACAACTCTTTTTGCAGGAAACATCCACGACCCTTAAACAACGGGTTGTTTCTCAACCAATGACCCGTCGATGGGGTTTCATTTGTTGGGAATGGAACTCCCAAACTTGCACGCTTTCATTGCCCTCACGACGGACCAGGTCGACGAGACGTCACCTGGTCAACATGCCATTGATTTGCTCGTTGATGGGAAGCACCCCGTAAACAAAATAGGTATTGTCGTCCTCGTAGACGACTACAACGAGCCTCTTAGCATTCTACAGAACATTTCATAGTTTAAAATCAGGAAAAATAAAAACTTTTATACACTAAGATTTACATACACCTCTCACATAATTCATGGGGATTTTACTTAGGCTCCTCCTAGACGAAGCTTACACAGGCTTCTCATTTAGACAATATACATAACATATAAAAATTTAGTCTAATATATTGTCTCACATTAAAGCATCTAAAATTAGTAGATGATTCGGGCGTAGCCTTTAATACAAATTCATAATTTCCTTATAGGGCTTACAACAATATCTTTAACGACAAAAGAGAAAATAATGTCTTTACACTATAGAAAATCTCACTAGGCTAGATATAAAGAACCAACTCAAAATATTGAGGACTCACAAATAAACTTGGGGAAGATATCAAACAATTCTTGCAATTTGGCCTTGAGAACTCAACGGCCAGAACCTATACTGTTTGGGGAAAAGGGAAAAGATATGGGTTTGTACATCCACTTGTACTAAATATTGAAACATATGCACATATAACATTTAAATAATGATTAAAGGGACATTTAGTTCAAAATTATTCTATGTAACTTTTATATGCTTTCAAGTACAATTAGGAACAGATAGAAGCCACTAGGCATAACATCACTTAGTACAAGTCCATATCCAACATAAGACCAATATCATGATATAGTTAAGACAACTTGAATACGATAAACATAAAGTCATATCACATGTATACTAGCATATCAAGATCATATAGCCAAAACAATTCAAACATAATATCAAAGCATGTACAATAGTTCATATCACCACATCATACAAGACCCTTACGCAGAGCCCCTTCCCAAGCTTACAAGTGACTTGTCTATAAGAAGCCCTATTACACCCACATAGCAAAGCAAACCTGGAAAGAGATCATAAATAAAGCCTAACATTATATAACATAACATCATGTGTGTTCATCATTATCTTTATCAATATAAACTACTAAAAATTTTATAAGTGAAACTAACATCATATAGGATCATAAACATAAAAAAATACCATTTGCATATCATTAAAGGTCATAAGAGCATAAGAACATCCACCTAGCACTTCCTTCAAGACCATCTTGTACAATGCATCAGTAGAGTCCAATACCCCTACCTATACTAAGAATAACACCTTAAGTCCTCTTAGTTAGAGTTCACTTTATAACTTTCATTTTACCTTTGGGAACAATTGCCTTAACCGACATAGACCATGTGAGCTAAATATGAATCCAGTGTCATCAAACCTTTCACTGAAAGATTGTGGTTTACTTCCCAATGTAGGACCAAAACATTAATATAGAATTTTTGGTGGATCTATTATCTAATATTCCAATGACGACAACATAATTCAAGAACTAAGAGACATACTAGAGACCCTTTTTATGCACAATGGAATTATAATATCTATCTCATGAGAAACAATGTGAACCTACCTTCCCACATTGGGAATGATCACTTCTAATAACTAGTTCACTCATTGATAAGCTAAAGTCCCTTCTCAAAATGTCTTTAAGTCATTAGTAATCCTCATATATTAGTATAGACCATATGAGACTAACGCCTTGTATATTCATAGTCATTAGTTTATTAGGTATTGTACGTGAATGTCATTTCATTACAACCCTTTATTTATGAGACTAACTCACCATCATCATTATAAAAGTAAGGAACATAAGTGATACAGAATCAACCTTATATCAACAAACCTTAATTATAATCTCACAATTCATACATTAAAGACATTTCAATTACATTTTTCATTTTATCACCTACATAATCTAATAACATGTAACATCTCAAGTGAACGTTAATATCAAGCATAAATAATAATAATTGAAATAAGGATTCAAGATGACAAAGTCTTACCGCTTAACCTTCAAAAGCCTTGTTCAAGATATTATCTTCAATTCATCATAATTATCCAATAACTAACTGATGATCATCATAATATCTTAAATGTCACAATAAAATAACTAATTATAACAATCCTAATAGTCTTCATGTCTAATTCATAACTACTGTAAGGGTAAAGGATCTAATTGATCACAAACAAATACAATGATCATGAACTACAACAATTATACTTTGAACAAATTTATTCTATCATTAATAATCAATGTAAACTAATAAAAATTAAATTTGAAAGATCTATTTTGGAATAAGAAGGAAAACCATGTTTTTGACATCCTTCGAAATCAATTTGAAGGAGCTTATTGGGGAAAGAGATCCCAAGAGTGAAGCGTTCCCACACCTTAACTATCCTTGAATAATTATGGAGAGATATTTGAATTCTTTCAGACCTAATGCCTTTGAACCTTGTCTTCAATTGTGTTCTTTGGGGAAAGAGAGAGAAACTTGAGGGAAGGTAGACAGATTCGAGTTGGGGAATTGTGGGGTGTTGGGTTAGTTTAATTATGTTTAGGTGATATATAGTCCCTTAACTAATTAAGTTAGAAACCCCGTAACCCTTAATTTATAACCAACTAACTAATAAATTCCCTCAATTCAAAATTAGGAAGTAAAAAATAAACCTAACCTATGAGACCTTGACCTTCAATAAATAGGTCCATCGACACCACTATATTGACAAGCTGTCGATTACGTCAGATACTAGAATTTTGGGGACTATGGTAAAATATATAAGTTTTCACCTGCGTATGCATCAATGTATACTTGATCAAACGACGGCCCGTGGTTTGACTCGTAGGTGTGCACTGTCAAGAGAAAGATTTTTTTTTGTCAAGTGGAAGGGTCCTGTCCAAGGACCGTTAAGGTGAATCCTTGGGGACTTTTACCTGGACGTTTTGACCCTAAAAATATTCTTATACTACTTTAACACCTTTCTACCAAGATTCATTAATTTCCAAGTCTGAAAACGCCATGAAACATTGCAAGGTACACTACTATACATGTCACAATTCACCGGACATCATGGGCATTTCTTGATGTTGTGAGTCTAAACCTTCCTAAATGTTCCGAATACATTATTTTAGGCCTTAAAACAATATTACATGTATTATATCTTCATGTGATACTCTAGATTAGGTCTTAGACTTTCGGAGTGTTAAACTTTAATCAAAGAAGTTTCCAAAGCCCAATCACAAACTACCTCAATTTTGTATTACCCATTATATGTACATTCTTTTGTACTAAGTGATCCTAGAATGCCATTGAATCAAGAAAAAAACCACATTAAGTGAATTCTTTAAAGTACCAGGGGTCTCACAACAGCAGAAGTACAATCCTAAAATGTTTCTCATGCTTCTCCCTACTCCTAGAGTAGACCGTGATATTGTAAATGAACACTTTAACAAATAAGTCAAAATAAGACTTTAAGAGAAGGTTCATCAATGTCATAAATTATGTTGCGGAATTTGTCAAGACAAAATAGTTGAATAAGAAGTCATAATGGCTATATCAAGTCCGAAAGAAAGTTTTAGGGATGTTTTATTGTAACATCCCGAAACCACACCCTAAACGTTAGGGGCAATCCCGGATTTGAAACCGGCATACTTTACCTCTTGGAGGAATTTTACAAGCCCTTACATGTCCTTCATTTCATATACATAATGAAAATTAGTGCGGAATAAAAAATTTTCACAAAAACATATCATAGTCTTTAAAACTCTTTTATATAAAGTCATACGATATACAAAGTCACAATAACATCAAACTTAAGACATGAGAATACTTTGGAAACATGGCCCATATACAATACTAATATAGAAATATTTAGTCTATTACAATACTTCAATAAGAAACATAAAAGACATCTACTCCCTCGAATCAAATGAGGACATACTTCGACTTCTCCTGAATGATGCTACAGCCAAAGTCTTCGTTCCCAAATAGTCCTCACCTACGAACAACTATAGAGATAAATAAAATAATGGATTAGTACAACCAGATGTACTAAGTATGACATAATGCATTAAAATAATAATAACAGACATATAGTAGAAATATGCATCTTTTCATTTAAAAATAATATTATAATCATATGAACAACATTTAACAACTTAGAAACACATAATATAAAACTTAGATCAATTATTATTATTGACACCCTATTTTTATCTTCCTCGGTATAATTAATTATTGAGATTCTTCAATTTCAAATAATTAAAAATAATTAGACTAATAAAATTAAAATATGCATATGCATATATATACATATTTTGCAAGATATTTTAACTATATTTGTCGATTTTTATAATTTCTAGATAATACATTTGCTTCCATACAATTATAATACTTTATAATTATGGAAATTTGTCTCAAAAGGTATTACCTTTTTAGTTAGTTATTTTAATTCGGTTTAAATTATAGTCATATTTTCGAGCTAATTATTTTGCAATTGAATTAATGATTTTAGAATTGAGTTATTTGTTTTTTTTTTATTAAGAAGCTTTTAAATAATTTATGTAAATTCGTCTTGCTAGTCGGATATTTTTTTAATCTTACAGTTTTAATCTAGAGTTGCTAAAATTTGTAATCTATATTACGCCGATGCCATGCCTTTATGCAGGCCAAAATCCCTTAACTCCTTTCCCAATTCCCCAACCTAATTTATTTAACCTACGATCTTATTTCAATAAACCAAAAGAAAACCACCAAAAAAAACATCCAGCCCATTCCTGTTTAAATCCGACCCATCTGCGTCTTCCTCTTCTCCATTTTTCGCGCGTAAGAATACCTTGGAAACAGGTGAAGCAGCGACACAACAAATTCAAAGGAAAATCACGTGTTATTGTGTCTTCTCTAGCGTCCCCTCTCTTCAAGTTCGTACAATAGCAGCAGCATGCTAATTGTCCTACTTGCGCGAGAGCACTCCACGTTTAGGCGCTAGAATGGGAGAATAATCTTAGCTGCCCGCCCCCTTCTTTTGTATATAGGGATGGGTACGCATATTCAGAAAATCTTTTCCTCTCCAATTTAGTGAAAGATATTTGAATTTTCGAAGTGATGGGCCAAAGATCCGATCCAATTTTCATCCTCTTTTCCCCAATTTCCAAAACCCTTATTGGGCTTTATATATTGTATTTTTCTTTTCACTGTGAGGGGGATTTTGGTTTAATCTAAAAATTTCCTAGAGACAAAGGTCGTGAAAATGTTAGGATTAGTATAAAAAACTAGCAGCTTGAAGAGACAGAACATAGTTAGAAAAGTTTAGGGGGTCGTATAGAGACCAAGAACCGCGTTCCAACCATGGTTTGCACACGCCGGTCTCTGTTTTGCCCATTCGTGTTTGTTGTTGCTATTTTTTGTGGTCATGGAAGCTCTCACTCCATCATTCGGTCTCGTCTCAGTCTCGCTGCACCGAAAAAGGTAAAACTTCTTCCTTTTAAGCTTTCTCCTCGCTCCTCTTTCCATCTCGATGTGATATTTTTTTATGTTGGAAAAGCTTTATAAATGGCCATTTGGGTAAGGTATTGATGGTTTGTTTATGTTTGATATGATGTACATGTTCGTAGTTGCTCCATTGAATTAGTCATAACATAGAGTTAAAAAATTGTGGGATTGTACTTAACATTGTGGTCTTTTTGTTTGTTGAGTTTGAATCTTCTGCAACTTTCTTTTACCGTTAATTTGTTATTTCTATAAAATGAAGCAAAATATTAATTTTTTTTGTGTAAAAGTTTTTTTTCTTCTTATTGATTAAAGGTAGAATGCAATAGTTTATATTCCTCCATCTGGTAGTTCTTTGTTTACATCTTATTTTGTTCCAAGCTTTCTGGTGCTTAGAATTGTTTTAAAGGATAGTCTAAATTTCCTGTTTAAGTTGTTTGATTCAATGGTTTTTTTTATACTCTTTGTTTTCTTTTAATTTTAAGTTCATTAATAGATTGTATAATCGAGTCTCATATCATAATTTTTTATCTAGATCTGATCGTGTTTCTATGGTCTCTTTGTAGCTCAATTTTCTCGCTTTCCTTCCTATTCTTTATCCTGAAGGGTTGAATACGCGATTTTTATGTTTGTTATTGTTATTATTATTTCTTCTCTTCATTCTATTTAATGCCAAGCTGATATTAGTCTTAGTAGTTTCATGTTGAACATCTAATCTAGCTTTGTCAACATAAAGTAAAATCGTCCTATCATTAATTTGTTTGTCGATTTGATTCTTTATAGGAATAGAAATTTTCTTTTACGTCGAACAAACTTGTGAGTCCCTCTTTAGTTAGATATGAAATTTGGTTTTCACTTTATCTTCTTTAGTGTGAGTATGCAGTTAGTTTAATTTTCTTATCCATAAGTATTGTCTAAATTAGTTTCTTGATGAATATGGATTGCATCTAAATGATATTTCTTATAAATAATATATGTTTATGAAATGAAGAATGTTTGTTTGAGCCACTTACTCTGTTGTCATTTTCACTTACAAGATTATTTTAAGCATGTGGCCATTTATTGGTCGTAATTCAACTATTCCAATTGAACATAGAATGAAATATTAATTTTGTTTATTATCGGCCTTATATTGTTGAAACTACATTATAGTGTTAGCTAATTAATACCATTTAATTATCACATGTGTTGATTTGAGACTTTTATAAAATACTTTGTCTTCCACAATGATTAAATTAAAAACGTGGTAGTATGTAAATCCTATTTTTTTTTGTATTGCACCATAGCTATTTCTTATTATTTTTTTTATGTTTTCATGTAAATTTGTATGGGTTCGTCACGATCTCACTATCTTGATTTTGGATATCCAAAAAAGCTCAAAATTTCTTTCTTCTAGTCGAGCCACAAGATTGACGCCTACATCCAAAAGCTAAAAATTTTGAGTGGGGGGGGGGGGGGGAATTGAGAGTCGAAGAATTTAGGTACAAGGCCCACATTTTATTTCATTTTAATTATGTGTTGTATTTCATTATTTTTTAACCAATCCCTTGTCTTTACCAATAATAGATTATTAAAATTTAGGGAAATTACAAATTAAATGGGCCTAAGGCCCAAAACAAAGTGGGTACGAAAAGCCGGTCCAAGTGGACAGAAATTTGATTTGGATCCAATTCTTTTTCTTTCTCTGTCACTCTCTCTCTTTATTTTAACCATGCATTTATTTGTTTGCATATCTATCAATAGTTCTAAGTTTAGAACATTCAAATCCTCGCTAAGACGCCATTTTCTTGTAATTAAATTAATTCAATCAGGTCTAAACAAATTAAAGATATATAAATTTGGAAATTAAATAACTCATTTTGATAGAAACTAGCATTTCACTTTTTTGTAACAACTATAAATATTTTGTGTTCTCAAAAATTGGAAGTTATACTTTTTAGCCAAAGAAGTAGGTTAGTGGTTAATCGCGAGTCAGCGAATATTTTAGCTGTCATAATAACCTTCCTAAAATAAAAATAGTAATCCCTGAAGCCCCGTTTATGTTTTCAATTGATTTTCTGTTATAAGTCTTTTAAAACAAGGTTTTCTTGATTTTTAAAAAAAATTAAGTGGCGACTCTAAAAAGTCGAAAACTAAAATAAATAATTTATGAAATGTAAAACGATAATATTTTTTGATGTCACTTTACATTAACTCAATACACTATTACAGTGACGCACTGAAGTGTCTTACCATGTGTTAGACACTTTCTAGTACGTAATCTTCTTACTAAAAGTTGTCCTAAGATCCACTTAAGCAACATAAAGAGAGTCCTCCCATACAAAATCCCTAAGCATACCTAAATTACCGTAGAGAATACTTATAAAAATACACATATGCACTTACATGACATCGAACATATTAACATATAAACAATATGACATTCTCATAGGAGAGGCTATGAAAAGACTTGCTTAAGTAAATCAAGAAGATAACGTCAATGATTGACCTCTAAAAGACTACCTAAATAAACCTTAATACTTCCTAAGTTTAAATCATGTCTACATAATCAACTTCTTCCCTAAATAGAGTCATACATAAGACTCATATAGGTAAGATATGAAGTAACCATTCCAATGCCCCCTTCACACATTAACTAGACAACCCTTAAGTACTCTAGATAAGTACTTATTTAATTAACACACTTCCTTAGCTTATGTCATTATATTAATTATATTATTTACAAGGCATTCAACACAAAAAGAACATTCAAGTAGTGGTCTTGGACAAGACCTAGGAACTCCAGCTAAAACCTTCAAAGCCTATTGTGCAATGTTTACATAGCATCCCATACCACCACCTAAACTTCATAAAACCCCCATAATGCTAATAGATATTCCATATGATGAGAATAGGCAATAACGAACATAGACCATGATAGCAAGAAATGGAATCCTATGTTCTAACCTACTCCGATGAGGCTTTTCTACTTGCCAATGGTAGAACTTAGACACAACCCATGTAGGCACATGATTATGGAATATGAACGCATGATTTGTAATCTATTCACATTCTTTAACTAGGACTACTTCCCTTACCATACTCACTTGGTGCTAGCCTGAGTTCTAATAGATTAATTTACACTTAAGGTTCATATAAAAAGTTCTAATATAAAGTTCATAACCCAATCACATTTACATTACAAAAAAAAGGTCAACTAGGGATGCCTCCAAATGGCGACCAGAAGCTTGTAATTTCTTTACTAAGTATTAATATGATGCCATTAAAGCCAATTAACCTTAAGTCCATCATTCGTTTACTATGAAGGATACCATTACAACTAACGACTTCAACATTCATAACCTTACCACTAAGTTTAAGGATTCACATATGAAACTCTCTTAACTTCATTTAAGGTCAAATGTATTTCATAAAAGAAAGACATATACTTTGGATCCTATGTAAAGACTTCATATATTGACTTTCATGCATACATCAAGAAAAGGACATAAGTCAACAAAGACAAGACACCACATACTTCACTTTAACTCATATTATATGTCATTCTATAACACATCGAAATAATTCTTATTATCTTGAATTCATCCTATATACTATCATATCAACATAAATATTACAATCATAGACTCATATAGTCATGTAGGATTAACATACATTAACCCGAAGCCTACACACAAAGCCATAGTCATAGTCTAACATGATAATCTCTATAACATCAGTAGAACATGTATACTTTGACATTACTTAACATGTCGATAGATGTAATCATATTACACTTAATTAACTATACAATAAGTCACTTTACTTTGAGTAACTTGCCTATAAGGCCATGATCATCATCTTACTTTAAATAACACCGATAATGCCACATCAATGGCAAGTAAAGCACATAACGATTCAACGGTAATTGGAACGTATCAATCACATAAAATTGAAGTCTAATAATAAAAAAATAAAGGAAATAGGTTATCCTACCACCACATCACCCTGAACACCTTAATCAAATGCCCAATAACCTCATTCAATATCACAAGGCCCTTACCCAAGTCCATAACAACTAAATAAACATAATTATAAAAATATTCATGTAACTAGGTCAACTTACTACGTATTCATCAATCTTGTCCAACCTAGATATCAACTAACTAAAGTTATTACATCAATCAATAGCCTCCATAAAACTACATTGGAATTCATAATTATTACATCAATATCAAGTAATCCATAACTTAGTCAAAAACTAGGTTCATCCAATTAATGGGTTAATAGGTAATTTAGGTTAAAATCATCAATACAATAAAACTTAAATCATTATTCAAAGTTTAAAAACCATTAGTGCAAGAACCCATGGAATAGATCATAAAATTGGACAATTCAACTTGAAATATTTAGAAAACTTCTTGAGAGTTGGGATCCTTGATGAAGAGAGTTTCAAGGATAAAAATAAATAACTTGACGAAGAATATCCAATAAATTTGTCCATCCAAGCCCTTTCGTGAGTTTTGAATCCAATGGAGTTCTAGAGAAAATTGTAACGATTTGGATTTTTGTTTGGAAGAATGAAATCTTCTATATTTTAAAGACTTATAAACACATTTAAAATACCGAAAAGATCACTAACTAACAACCAATACTCTTATAGTGGAGTGAAATTATACTTTCAACCCTCACTTAACAGTGAACTGCACGCATAACCCAGCCCTAACAACGGTTGCCAAACAACGGCCCATCCCTAGAACAATGGACCATCCTGTTGGTCAATGGTTGGGAACTGAGGCTTGTCATTGGCCTATATTATCCCATTTATTAATTCTAAACAACGAAACCCTACCAAAGAGGCATAGACTGACCCACTGGGTACCGATTGCCACCGTGTTTTGGGTTATCTTTGGCAGCCTTGGGCACCAACTTGGGTCCTTCCTTAAGAACCATTGGATGGTCCTTGGGGATGTTTTCCTGGACGTTTCCAACCCAAAGAT